AGCATGATTAAAGCATAAAGAAATTGAAAAATATAATTCAATAGCTATTAATATAAGGAACAGTTATATTAATTTTAATCGATACTTAATTTAATATTGAAACAAAATATGCAATTAAAATAACGCTAAAAATACTTTTAAAATAACTTTCTGCAATTTTTTAAATTATGTGTTGAAGCAATTTTAAGTATTTTTCTCTACTACTCCATAATATCATAATAAAAATTATTTCCACAATATCGTTTGTATAGTAAATGAATTATTAGAATATTTTTGTTATTATGTACTAGGATAAAAACATCTTCAATTTCGTGAGTAAAACGATTACAATTTAAATAAGGTGAAAATGGTATACGTACGTATTGACAAGACCACTGGAGGGAAATTCGAAGAATAATTTCTCTTCATTCATCATGCTATATATTTTTGTTGCAATCCTAGTTATTGTAAGTTATTGTTAATATATCATATTAATAGTGTTTATTTAATAAAGCTATCATTTTGTTTTCTTTAAGTTACACTTTTATATTTTATTTTCATTTAAAAATATATATTTAAATAACTTTTTAAATATATTACTTTATGTGTATATAAAGAATAAATTATGGCTGAAAAAAATTAATAGTTAACAACGTTGTATCTGTCACGTAATAGATAAAAAGATACTAAATAATAATCTTCCGCTAATCATTTGCAATACCACATTAGAATAAATATGACAATAAACAATAATGATTAAAAATAAAGGGTATACAACATATACGCACGCGCGTGGATAAGAAAAGTACAAGGTAATTTTTAATTAGTTGCATGGCATTGTGTCCATTTAAAAAAGTGTCGTAAGTTTTTAAAAACGACTATACATCACTGTTGATTTCTATACTTCAATAATTGCCTATATATGTGTAAAAATAAAATGAAGTTTGCTTATTTAGTTTCGTAGAAGTAAAAGTGCGCGATGTTAGAAGAACTTGAAATTAAAAGTAGAAGGTTATCTATCAACAAAAGTACCGCCATAATTGATTGGATTGATTATGTTGATCCATCGATAACATACGATGAGTTTTTTTCAAAGTATTTAATGGAAAATAAACCATGTATTTTTAAATCAAATATAACAGAAAAATGGTCATGCAAAAGACAGTGGAATCTGGATGGTGCACCAGACTTTGATGTTCTTGATATATTGTTTGGTAAACTAACTATAAATATATATTTTATACATTCGTTTATATTGTTTTAAATAGGTGTAATTAATGTTAATTTATTAATATTTTTTCTTATAGGGGATTGTATGGTACCAGTTGCAGATTGCAACAAAAAATATTATAATTCACAATCTAAAGATGATATGAAAATGAGAGATTATTTAAATTATTGGTTGGATTATATAAAAAATAATTACTCCAATTCTATGTCACTTTTGTATTTAAAGGATTGGCATTGTCCAAGATTGTTTCCTAATGCTCCTATGTATAATGTTCCTGAATATTTTGCATCTGATTGGCTAAATGAATATTATATGGCAAATCCTGAATTAAATGATGATTACAGATTTGTGTATATGGGTCCAAAAGGGACATGGTAAAAATATTTTTCAAACATTAAATTATTTATTTTCATTGTTGTAATAAGTAAGAAAAGCTAGTTTTTACATATAGGACACCAATGCATGCAGATGTATTCGGATCATATAGTTGGTCTGCAAATATAGTTGGGGAAAAACGTTGGTTCCTTTTTCCACCAGGTCAAGAAGATTTTCTACGAGATATACATGGTCAATTAATATATGATGCAACATCTGAAGAACTTAATGATTATACAAAGTACAAAGCCTATGATAAACGAGCATTAAAATATATTGATGTGATACAAAAGGAGGGAGAGATCATATTTGTGCCATCTGGATGGCATCATCAAGTTTGGAATATAGTAAGTATATTACACTATTATTATTTGAATTAAAAAATATTTTACATTTATCATTATATTTACTTGCAGGAAGACACAATCTCTCTTAATCATAATTGGATTAACAGTTGTAACATTATGAATGTATGGCATGGATTGAAAAAAGAATTATCTTTTGTAATGAAAGAAGTTAGTGACTGTAAGGATATGAGCAACTGGGCAGAACAATGTCAATTAATACTAAAATCAACTTATGGAATGGATTACAGCTTATTCTTTGACTTTATATCTTTTATAGCTAGACAACGTTTAAATATGCTTTCAGTCAAAGAAGACATAGTTAGTTTTAACAAATACAAACTTGGATTTCATCACTGTATATTTGATCTTCATTCAATAAAATTAACACTGATAGATTTTATTAATGATATGGAAGAAAAATCCATTTATTGTTTAATTTGTGAAAAACAGCAAGGTCATCAATTATTAAATAAAATTTTATTAGCTTTGCAATCACATGATACTGAAAATTTGTCTACATAATAAAAAAATCAAATATTAAAAATAGAGTAAGGAAAAATGTCTTGTTTTTGTTTATAACATGTAAATAGTATAATGTAAATATGTGATCCCAAATTTTGATATCATGAAAATATTCAGTATTCCATAGTTAATCAAAAAAAATATGTGACCCTTTTATTGCACTTACATAATTAAAACTGCAATATAAAAAGAATTATTGTACTTAAAAGTAAGCTCTGTATATTGTGAATATTATAATTGAAAATAAACAAAAGACAAATTGTACTATATTGTTATTATTTAAACAATTCTGAATCATTGAATATTATGTTTACATTAAACTTTATTACTCTCAACTTAAAATATAGGCATAAAATAATGTTATATGTATATTGTATTGATAATATAACATAAATTGATTCATTTATTTTGAGAATGATAAAGGAAGTATCGTAATTAGCATGTATCAATTTGTAGTAAATATACCTTTTGATTTATAATTTCAAAAATATTTTATTTTTATATTCCAAAATGTTCCAACATCTAACATAATATAAATATAAAAATATGACACTATATTAAAAAAAATTTGATCTTGAA